GTAAATCAAATTCTCTCGCACAATGTTATTGGAGTAAATCGAGCTACTTCCAAGCACTTCCCTCACCATTTCATTCTTCCAATATCCAGTGCACTTCAAAATGATTTCACATCGAATTGCCTCTTTGGTCGTTGTAGAGATGGCTTGATTGCTGACGCTCAAAATTTCGCCGAGAAGAGTGGCGAGAAGACCATAATAGTGAGCCACGAACCATATGTCCGACACGGAGATTGTGTGTCCGGCAGGCGAAAGTCGCCCCTCGCGCCAGCACTCTGGTTTGATGGCTGAGCACAGATGATACACACGATCCCAGGCGGCGAAGATTTTCTGGGAACCCGTCGTTGCATGAGCGAACAAAGGATCATACGGCCGCACGAAGTTCAAATAGTCCACAACCAGTGGACTTACAGTACCGCGCCGTCGTTAAAGAAGAGAAACTCTTTCTGCACCGCACTCGAGCGCGTTGCGGGCATTCTCTGCAGCGAAGGCCCCCGCGCCAACTATCAAAATGACACGACTCAAAAAATTTACGTCCTCTGGACCGTTAGCGACTCCGTAGTGCACTCTCCCAGTCCACGTGCCTTCGTTCGGAAAACAGAGTTTACGAGTGGCTCCCAAGCGTCGATTTATACCCGCAAGCACTCTGCTCGCCTCGAGAGTTGCATGGTTTCGGTCGTGCGAGTATCAGAGTGCCTGATGCAACATCCGGATAGAACGAACACCAGTCACAGTGACTTGTAGTTTCAATTTTTGCGCAATATATGTCCTCGCCAAGAAAGCAAGGTCACCCGTAATCTACGAAGTGGGAGTATGATCCAGATTAATTGCTCCAGCCCTCTCCGCAGGGCGATAAGCTGCTTCTGAGGTGTTCACCCTCGATGACGAGTTAGCTTGTGTGTACCAAACACCACCGATCGCATCACACTTTTCTAGAACTACCAACTAACATCCATCCGAAATGATTCTGCGGGCAAGAATAAGCCCCGACACGCCGCACCCCATGATCGCAAATGCCGATTTTGCTGGGAGGCGGTTCCCGACTTGTTACAGAGTTCTATCGCTGCAAGTTACACGCGAAATCTGAGAATAAATCATGTCGTATAGTTCTTATATCGAGCTATTGCAGGCAGGCAAAGGCGGATGAGGACTTCATGTCTTATGAACACATGCGTAATGAAGTTGACTTGATTCAACCGCAAATGACGACGCGACTCAAACGACTAGACGAGCACCTAGATCGCCAACTCCGACAAGTATGTTGATAGTGTTCGCAAATAAATTAACTCAGTCTTTTACTTGTTCAAGACTCGACGAGAGCGACTCAACGACTATCCCAGAGATTTTGAAATGCGCCTGCAGCCTCGCCAGGCGATCAGTATGAGATTAGTCCGAGACGATCATTACTCACACGGCAAGATGGATCGATCTTGCGGTGCCTGCGGAATTATCGTCCATCGTCGCATCGTACATGGGGAAGTATTGTTCGTAGCGTGAAATCGATAGTCAATCGGGGCCCCTATTGATGGAATCGATTAGGGCGATGGTTCAGATGGAATCAAGCTGATGGATTTGTACAGGTAATCTTCGATTAGCCAGGAAAGTAGCGCCCAGAGGAGAGAGAGAGAATGAGCTGTTATTTATTATTGCAGCTCAGTCGATACTCGCTCCTTATGCTCTTATCTGGCCGGCGCTGCTGAAGCAGCCCGCCGGCGAAATTCTTTCTGAAAAGGGGGGCATAGGGTAGATCCGGGAGGCGGCGGCCATGGTCAGGACCAATCCGATCCCGGAGGGGTTGAGAGATCGCCCGTTCAGCGAGCAGGCGGAGGCCTTGCCAGCGCGGGAGGCGCTGCGGGCGGTGCTCTCGGCGGCCCCGGGCTTCAGGGATGAGACCCCCGACCCCGTGACCTTTGCGACGGGGCTGTTGCCCCTAGCTAACGCGATATTTAGAGGGGACATGCCCCTGGAGGTGAATCAGTTTTCGCAGGGGGAGCAGATGGAGTTCGTCGGCCAGGCGGTGCACCAGTTGGTGCGGGAAAACTATCTGCAGCGAACAGTTTTCCAGGATTTTGGGCAGACATTGCTTGAGGTTACAAAAGCTGTTGAGAGCCGGGCTGCGGCGGTGAAGATGGAGCTTTCGATATGTGACGAGGAGCGGGCACCTGACCCAGTCGTGGGTCAGTTTCGGGTGAACGACAAGGAGTTGCATGCTCCTGTTACTGTGGCAATGTTGGATGCGCGCGATGCGACCAACAAGCGAGACTT